TTTAAATTAATACAAATTTTAACTTTTAGAATATAATTATTTTATTAAAACTAATTAAAACTACAATAAAATTATTTTTAAAAATAGTATATTCTAATTATGAAAGATATCTATTTAGTATTAAGATTATTTAAATAGATATATAAAGCTAAACAAATTTTTTAAAAAACTATTACAATATTAATTTATTAACAATAAAAAATACTATATTATAATAAACAAAATTTTTATTATATTTTTATTTTTGATTTTTATATTAAATTAAAAATTTTCAATAAAACAAAACTATTAATATTAAACTTTAAAAATTATAAGCTAATATATAATAATTATTAATAAACTTTTATTTAAATAGGAATGTGGCAACCTAGTAAAGTGGTTAGGTTGTCAACCCTTCAAGTAGTAGGTTGGATGTTTAAATCTTATCAATAGCAAAAATTTAAATAATCACTTATATAATATTCATATTATAGCAACTGTTACTAACAATTGGGTTAGGATAACTGTAATAATAATTACACTAGCATGACTGGCAAGTCATGGGGCCTTTGTGTAACTTGTTAAACAAAAGAATGCAAAATAACAAATCAGGCAATGCAAACATTAAATAAGTTTTTGTGATTATATAAATTTATTAAAATTAGATAACAAGAAGTCTATTAAAAAAACCTAAGTAGAGAAATAGTTAGATCTTTGATAGCCCTACTATAAAGACTAGCCTGAGGAAACAGATATCAAGATTATAGTACTCAGTTATAGTAGCCAGATGGGCAAGAACTTTCAAGTTGAAAGTCTTAAAGGTATTACCAATCAGGTTACCAGAATAAATTAAAAGAAAAAGACACAGGCTAGTTGAATTGAAAGTTTGATAAAAAGGCAGATGAAAAGACAGAGGTATACTAAAGTACTAAGGGTATACTGTAAAGTAGATGCTAAGGTCTGTATGAACTCTATAAAAGTATAGTGGTTAAATGATATAACTCTGACTGCAAGTATTGATTTTCTATAGTAATATCTAGATTAGTTGTAAAATGAATATAAAAGGCTCTGAAAGGTTTATTTTAAGGATAAATTAGTTCTAAGGTTGAAATAATAATTTGAGCATTTGAGTATGATCTAGTAAGTTAACACAAGTTATAGGTTTAGAAAGTTTAAAGCAGAACATTCAAGCAGAGGTGTTAGATATAGTAATTGATAGAAAACCTTTAGGTGAACTCCTTAAATAGACAATATAGAAAAATTACATATATAGTCAATTATACTCTCTTCTGTAATAGTTCATAGAATTATATTATCAATAAGTCATTAATAAAAGTCAAAAGACCAAAAAAGTTACCTTAACAAAAAAAAAACCTTTATCTAAATAAAATAATACTGTAAAAAGTTTAATTATATTATTGAAAAGTTTTTTTAAAAATTATATAACAAATTATAAACTAAAAAATCTTTAGTTTCCTTTAATTGTATAGATAATAAAACTTTTAAAAAACTTTAATTACAAATAAATCAAATTATTATATTGTATTAGAAGCTATTAAAAAAATATAATCTTATTAAATTGGTAAAAAATAAACAAAAAATTTTATTTAATATTTTTAAAAGTTATATATAATTATCTAAGTATTTAAGTTACAAAAGTTACTTTCAAATAAGTTTTTTAATAAATAATAGTACAATTATAAGAACTTATAATTACCTTTATTTTAAAATAAAAAGATTATAGTTTTGTATTAAAACTAGATTATTAATAAAATTAGTAAATAAAAATTAAATATATATATATTAAGTATATATTAAATGTAAAAATAATTAAATTAAGGGTATGGTGACCTAGTGAAGTGGTCAGGTTGTTAACCCCCTAGTGGTAGATTGGGTGTTCAAATTCCATCAACAGTGAAAATTTGAATAATCACTTATATAATATTTATATTATAACAACTATTACTAATGATTGAATTAGAATATCTATAATAGTGGTTGCACCAGTATGACTGGCAGATTATAGGGCATCTGTGCAATGTTGGAGTTATATATAAGAATGCAAACTGACAAATTGGGCAGTGCAAACACTAGATAAGTTCTTGTAGTCATGTAAATCTGTTGAAATTGGGTAACAAAAAGTCCATTTAAGAAGATCTGAATAGAAAGCTAGCTGGATCTTTGATGGCCCTACTGTAAAGGTTAGCTTAGCGAAATAGATACCAAGGTTTAGTATCAGGTTGTAGTAGCTGAACAGGCAAGAACCTCTGAGTTGGAAGTCTTAGAGATACTACTAATCAGGCTGCCAGAATGAACTAAAGAAAAAGGATATCAGATTAACCTGATATACTGATAGACTGATCTTAGTTCTATACAGGCTATCTGAATTCGAAGTTTAATAAAAAGGCAGGGGTATACTAAAGTACTGGGATTATGCTGTAAAATAAATGCTAGAATCTAAGTGAACTTTACAAGAGTACAGCAGTTAATGATTAAACTTTAACTGCAAGTGTTGGTTCTGCTATAGTGATACTTAGATCAGCTGTAAAAATGGATACAGAAGGCTCTGGAGGGTTTATCTTGAAAATAAATTAGTTCTATAGTTAAAACAATGATCTGAGCATTTGAGTATAACCTAGTGAGTTAACACAAGTTACAGGTTCAGAAGGTTTAAAATGAAACATTTAAGCAGAAGTGTTAGATATGGCAATTGGTAGGAAACCTTTGGGCAGACTTCTTAAATAGATAATATAGAAAGTTACATATATAGCCAATTGTACATTCTCCTATAATAGTTCATTAAACCACAATACCAATAAGTAATTAATAAAAGTCAAAAAACCAAAGAGGTCACCTTAACACTAAAAAAAAAATAATAATTAAATTTAATAGATATTATACAAGTAATTTTGATAATATAATTAAAAAGTATTATATATTGATAATATTAGATTGAATTATTTTAAATAATTTTACAAATTATATAAATACTTTATTATATAAACAAATTATATATATAGTATATATTTTTAGTATAATAGATTTAAAATATTTTTTTATAAATTTTACTTTAAAAAAAAAAGAAAAAATAGTTTAAAGTTTATCTAATTTTTTTTTTCAAATAAAACAAATAATAAAAGTTTTGTTTAAATCTTTATTAAAAAAGTATTTTTATCTAAATCAAATTTATAATTAATAAATTTTGTATTTTTATTTAATATAGTTTACTAATCTAAAGTCTGGTTCTAAACTGAATTTAATTAAATTATTAAAAACATGTTATTAATATTAATTTAGTCTTCAGTTTGTAATCTAAATCTGGTCTTTTAAATTAATCTAAATTAAGATAATCTATAACATTTTTATTAATACTTTAATTTATTTTAAATTTTAATATTATAATAGTTATTTTAAAATTCTATTTTATTTATAATAATATTATATAAATTTTAATATTTTTTCTTATTTTAATAAATTTTTAATAATAATAATACTTTATATTTACTTTTTTTAATTAGATTTTTTTATTATAAAAATATTTAACATTATGTCTTAACTGTATTGCAATTAACTTTAATGTATATAATAATTTTTATTTAATTTTTTAAATATTTAAATTGCATTTAGTCAAATATTATACTAGTTAATAGATAATATGTATTTATAATTTAAAATTATATATTTAAATATTTTTAATTGCAAAATAATTTATAATAAATAGTAATTCTATTATAGTAGTTAGGTTATTATTTTCCAAACAGTAGGTTCAAAGTTCAAATCTAACTAGAAATAGAATTTTAAAAAATAATTCTATTTTGACAATTTAATTGAAATATCTAATGTTGTAATCTTATAATTCTAATTGTATAAGACTGACTTTAGAAGTGTACAATATTATATGAATAGATTTAAAAAGTATATACTCTATAAGAAGTTCTATTTAAAAATACTAAGTAAAGAAGTAGTATAATCTTTGATAGTACTATCTATAAAAACCTTAATTCAGAGACAGAAATCTGAGACTGATGATCTGTATAAACAAAACTCTAGATAAAAAAGTTCTATTAACTTGCTATTAATTAAATTAAGCATAAAATCACATCATGCAAAGTATCTAAATTAATAATTTAAGAAAACTTACAAGAGTATACAAAGTACCAATAAGATTATAAAAAGAATACAAAAATTGTATAAACTTTACAAGTTATAATAGTTTAAGAGTTACTTTAACTGCAAGTATTAGTTTTAACTATAATAATACTAGGTTAGCTAAAAATTAGATAACAAAAAACTCTAATAAGTTTAGTACAAAGTTAAAAGTTCTTATATAAGTAAACCATAGTTAATATAATATATTTGTACTAATAAATTTAAAGCAGTTGGTAGAGTAAATAAGTAAGTAAATATAAGATCAGAGCATTTAAATAAATAACTCACAAACAGGTTTTAGATATGATAACTAGTATAAAACCTTTGAGCAAACAACTTAAATTAGGCAATAACTAAAATTATACAGGTAACTAGTAGTACACTTTTCTTATAGTTGTCTTTTATAACAGTTGTAATACAATTACAAAGCTAAAATGTACTATTAATAAAAACCTAGATTGCAAGTACTCATTTTAATATTGAAAATAATAATAATAATAATTTATAATTTATAATTTATAATACAAAAATAAATATACTAAAACAAAAATTTAAAATTAATAATTTGACAGATAACATATTAGGTTTAAATATTACAAGCATAAGCTAAATATTACATATATATATTGTTCTGAAATAAACAATAAAATATAATTAATTAATTTTTATTATAGAAATTAATAGAATAATATGTTTTTGTATAACTACAGAAAATTTGAGCTTATTAGAAAGAATTTGACCATGAGATTTTTTTTAAGTCACAGAAGTTTTAAATTCTTATTACAATAAATAGAAGATTTATATTAAAATTTAGTCTTTAATAATAATTTTAAAATGGTTTATTGGCGGTATATTTTCGTACCTATATGTAACTATTGTCGTACATCAATATCATATGAAAAATGATCTACCTAGAGATGGAAAAATTAAAGTTCTTTTGAATCTACTGCGCAGTATACACAGTCTCAAATTTTAAAGACTTACTTATTTGGTTTCATTATTTTTAATTAAAGTTAGGTTAGACGTCAGTTTTCGTTTTTTTCACTTTTTTTCTGCATATCAGTAGATTTGCATCATCTGGTAAATAGAGGAACTCATCGCTAATAATTCTGGCCAAATTTGCAGATCATTTAGCCAGATCCAGAACAACAATTTAAAATGTGATCAAATGATCTGCAAGTTTGACCGGAATTATGAATGATAAATTCTATAAATCAGGTGATACAGATCCGTCATGGTTTGTTTTTCTTTTGGGCCGATCCGGATCGATTTCCGATTGGCTAAATTCAAGCCTGGATCAGTCTCAAAAAATGTCTGCGCAGTGAAATACTGCAGTGTTCCATCTCTAACTCTACCATTAAAACCAATATTAATTTTTTCCCAAAATGATAAAGTTACCGAACGAATGCCTTTTTGAAATATTTAATAATATTCGAACTGAATATGAAACCTTATTTTCGTGTCTTCTTGTAAACCGTCAATGGTGTAAAATTATTATACCAATATTGTGGAGTGAACCTACAAATTATTTCAGTAATGAACAACTTATAGAAATATATCTTTTAGCGTTAAATACTGATGAACAAGCTCTATTATCCCCATTTGGAATTATTCTTCCAAGTTATCCAAGGCCATTATTTGATTACGAAAGTTATACAACATCTGTTGGTTCTTATTTTGATGATGGAGTCAATAACTGGCTTGAAAATGAAGGATATGTCACAAGAAGTGAAGTTGCAAATACTATCAAATGCACTTTAGTTGCAATGTTTCTGCGAGCAAGTAAAAATCTTAAACATTTAACACTTAATTATACTGCTAATAAAACGATATTAGCAGGTGCACTTTGTAAAAACAAACTGACTTCTTTGAGCCTTCATAGCAATAATTTTGGCTCAGAAGGAAGAAAAGCATTAACCGATGCACTTTGCAAGAACATCAAGTTAACTTCTTTGAAAATCACTAGCAACAATCTTGGACCAGACGAAGGAAAAATATTAGCAAATGCACTTTGCAATGACACCACGTTGAAAGATTTGGATCTTTACGATAATAATCTTGGATCATCTGGAGGGAAAGCATTAGCAAATGCACTTTGCAAAAATACCATACTGACTTCTTTGAATCTTGGTTGTAATAATCTTGGATCAGACGTTGGAGAAGCATTAGCGAATGTACTTTGTAAGAACTCCATGCTGACTTCTTTGAATCTTGCTTTTAATAATCTTGGATCACCTGGAGGGAAAGCATTAGCAAATGCACTTTGCAAAAATACCATGCTGACTTCTTTGAATCTTAATCGTAATGATCTTGGATCAGACGTTGGAGAAGCATTAGCAAATGCACTTTGCAAGAACATCAAGCTGACTTCTTTGAAAATCACTGGCAACAATCTTGGACCAGACGAAGGAAAAATATTAGCAAATGCACTTTGCAATAACATCACGTTGAAAGTTTTGGATCTTTACGATAATAATCTTGGATCATCTGGAGGGAAAGCATTAGCAAATGCACTTTGCAAAAATACCATGCTGACTTCTTTGAATCTTGGTATTAATAATCTTGGATCAGACGTTGGAGAAGCATTAGCAAATGCACTTTGCAAGAACTCCGTGCTGACTTCTTTGTATCTTGGTTCTAATAATCTTGGATCACTTGGAGGGAAAGCATTAGCAAATGCACTTTGCAAAAATACCATGCTGACTTCTTTGAATCTTAATAGTAATGGTCTTGGATCAGACGTTGGAGAAGCATTAGCAAATGCACTTTGTAAGAACTCCGTGCTGACTTCTTTGAAACTTGCTTTTAATAATATTGGATCATCTGGAGGGAAAGCATTAGCAAATGTACTTTGCAAAAATAATATACTGACTTCTTTGAATCTTAATAGTAATGGTCTTGGATCAGACGTTGGAGAAGCATTAGCAGATGCGCTTGGCAAGAATACCACTTTGACTTATTTGAATCTTTTTTCGAATGATCTTGGATCAGAAGGAGGAAAAGCTTTAATAGATGCATTTTGCAAGAACACTACCCTGAGAGAATTGCATATTTATCATAACAATATTAATTTTACTTTAAAATCTAATTATTCAAGAATTAAAAATACAGTATATTAATAAATTTATATTACAAATGTAAGCATAATTCCTATAAATCAATCACATTTCATATTATAGCATACAATATTGCTTTGCCATGTAAAGTTTTATTACCTTAAATTGTAAGAAGTTGATATAATTTTTCTGTCGGTTTGGAATGCAGCTAGCTTACAATGAAAAGTTTTTTTATGTCAAATAAATCTTTTTTGGGTTTCAAACAAATTTTATAGAACAGGTTATTCCGGTTCTAATGGTGATAAAATTATTATAATTGGTTTAGTAGATCGCGAGTTATTAACATTTTCTCTATAATATAACTGTAGGTGCAGGAACTTAGGAGCATGTGTTACGTCAAAAAGTCAAGCAAAAGTCCGTAACAGAAGACATAGCATAACTCTGGGATTAGACGTGATTCAGCAATTTAATAGACGAAAACTTCATTTGAAATTAGTTTTATTAAATCTTAAAAACAATTGAGCGAAAATTGTAAACAAAATTAGAAATTTGTGCAAAATGTCTTTGATGAATCCATTTCTTATACTTCTACGTCATTAGGACCTACACCATCAGAATCGAAACTAACTGCAAAAAAGATAGAAGAAGTGGCCCTGTCTTCGATACTACGTGGTTGAGGATGAAAAAGTAAATCCAAGGCATTATAAAGCAGAATATTCCTTTTGCGACGAGGTCTGGTAGAGGGATAAACCTTATATTCTAAGGTTCCACCTTGCACTTCATTGTCAGAGGATATCCGACGATATTGGCTTAATAAACTTGCATAAGAAAATAATACTTATAGAAAAACTATATATTACGTATCAAATGTTAAATATAATTCAAATGCTATGTATTAAGTGTTATGGCACATGTCAAATGTTACGACATATATCAATTGTTATGATGCATACAAAATGTTAAGACATCTGTAAGTTAAGTGATGCCAACAATACTCCAGACAAAACCTGATAAAAATATAACCTAGCTACATGATAGGTTTATACTATGTTTGATGCAATGTATCCAATAAATATTCTGAATTGTAACGATTGTAACTCAGTTTAATTCTCTAGGTTACTCACAAAGAATTTAACGCAAATACATTTTTAGCACAAGAACCAGTCACTTTAGCAACAAAATTAAAAGTAATAGTACGTTATTTAATTTGTGACGTTTTGTATTTAAAGTTCTTTGGATAAAATTATTATGTCGATTTTCAATTCTATCCTGCCAATATTTTTGTACATCTTTTGTGAACTGCAACATTTTTTAGCTAAATGTGACTCCATTACGATTGGTATTCCTCTTTTTCAATGCTTAGAACAATGATCGTATCGAATAGAATGATAATTTCCTTTTTTTTTTGTTTTGTTCAACAGTATAAGTATTCTATATTTCTCCTCATCAGAATTAGATATTTTATTAATTGAAACTAAACAGCCGCTAATAGCAATTAAATTATCAATATTATTTGACATATTGGAATAAATAAGGGTTATTAAATTATTTGTTTTGTGTTGGCTTCTTATACAAGTCTTACGTAATTTGATGATAATTTAAATATATCGTAATTTGATAATAACAAAGTTTAATTTAATACGTATCGGTATATATTATCGTTATATACGTAGTTAATTTTAACCAACATTTTTAATTTCTCCCCACGGACAATGTCGACTACGCCACCTTTCGTCTACCAATCAAATTAAAAGATCAGGTGTACATTAAATTTTCAAAAAAAAATCAAAGCTTTTTATAGTTTTTCAAGGTAGCTTAAAATTTTAGTTACAAAACCACCTTTTGTGTTCTAACAAAAAAAATTCCTTGCAAACTTTTAGTATAATATTTGTTCTAATAGGCATTTATATTGTTTCAACGACATTTTCATTATTTGATCGAAAAGTAGGATTTTTTCTCATCCAGTAGGAACTGGGGGGAAATTAGTAAACCCCATTTTTAACTGGTTTTGTTGTTTTTACTTTAACGGTTTTAACGGTCTTAACAGGTTTAACCTACAATTTATATTAATATAAGTTTTATCATGTGACAAAACCAAAACATAGTATGGATTACATGATTTTTGCATAATGCCAGAAACTTACGACATTCTGACATTATATAGGAATATTATTAATTTTCTGCCGATTTTTACTATGAAATTTATATCCTTCAACTGCGTTCTACCATTTAAACATTATTTGATCATTAATGTTATTATTCTACGCCATTTCTCAATTTATGTCAATTATTAATTGATTTGTTATTTGTAAATTTACAAATAATATATGGCATTTTGCTATTCTACCAACAGGAGGAACCGTCGATGTTACACGACTGATTTTCACCCAGTGTGCAGCATATAAAAAAATCATTTTACAATACCAGATCATTCTGCTAGTACATGTTATGATTATAATTCCACACCATTTTATAATAATAAAAATGGTGTGGGATTATAATCATAACATGTACTAGCAGAATGATCTGGTATTGTAAAATGATTTTTTTATATACTGCACACTGGGTGAAAATCAGTCGTTTAACATCGACGGTTCCTCCTGTTTATTCTACCAAGTTAAATGTGCATACGTAGGTAAATTCATGCAATACAATAATTATTCGTTTTTCTTAAAACAAAAACTATTAATAAATCTCTTCAAAATAAAAAATAAACTGAAAAAACCTAAAAAAAAATACGAAAAAAAATCAATCTAAAGCTCGAAAGCAACGTAATTGTGATCAGATGAACATTATCTGTTTCATTTTGAAATTTAAGCCTTGTACTGGACATGTTAGAATCATATCAGACAAATATACCTGCATCTATGAAAACCGAAGTGTTGACTAGAATTGACAAATTTTGCGAGTAACTTATATACTGTATTTGTTTCAATTTTATAAATATTTGGCTAAGTTAAAAGATTCACTAAATTAGTATGATGGTCTCTCTTGTTATATATTGAAAAGTTGTTCAGAAGATCAAAATACATCTTTTCTGAAAATTTTGCTTAATATATTTTTGATATTTTTGCATGATACGATTGCACGAAAAGCTTTTTTTAAAAAAAATTGATTCACATAATTGTAAATATGTAAAATATGTTAATAAAAAGTCATTCAATTAATTAAAACTTTTAAAATAGTAAAATTTTGACTTGGTATGCAGTGCTTGTTGAAATTTTTTTAATTCGAAGCAAAATTTTTTTTGTTTTCAAAATTAATAGCTTATAATGATAATTAATATCAATTTTTAAGAAATTTTATTGATTATTTATAAGAGTACTATATTGAAATCGGGCGTTACGGTGAGTCAGTCGCTCCACAATCCAAAACTTCGTGTTACCTACGGTTGGCTTAGTCGAAAAGAGGCGTTTAGATTTGGTC